TAAGAAAGGTTGCCATTTCCAGGTGCTGACAGTTGACATATAATATCAGCACATTTTCAGACAATTGTACACTTAAAAAAGGTGAGAAAACAATTGAATGATCATAATAAAGTAGAGATTTGTGTATTCTTACCCTTGAGCTAATCCATGCCGTTTCATCGATGAGTTTGTAGAAAAAATCAGCGCCCACTGAAAATGCTTCAAGCTGCACCTGCACACTAGAAAAGGCAAACTTGGAACGGTTACGTTTGTACTCATCTCATAAATCTGACTTTGTTCATGACAAATATACACATGCATATTAATAGGATGACAATTGGATTTCAAAGGTCAAGAATCCGAACCTGATATCGTTTTTTCAGGCAGTGCAAAAATCTATTACTACCTTCACATCTTCAATGGGCAGCGATTTTGATGGATCAAAACATGGCGGGGTTGCAGTCGCATCCGACATACTCATTGTCCTCTTCTTCCTCAAAGGATCAGTAAATGGACTTAATAATGTCTGGGCTGGGCGCTTCTGTCTACAGCCTTTACCTTCCACTTCTTTTTTTTCAACACTCAAACTACCTTCTTCATCAGCAGCCATACTAATTGTAGGTATACTTGGAGGATTCATCGGACCTCCCGATGGCACTCTGTCAGCTATTTTCCAAACTTCTAACAAAAACATCAGTCTTTGGCAGATTTCGTCACACCCGGCCACATCTTCCGGGGTAGGCAGCTTCTCGGATTGTACATGCGCAGCTGCTTCATGCACTTGTAAGTCAGGAACTGGAGTGACCATGGCTGCGGAAGGTTCGGCTCCATCCCTGGGGACTTGTGTTGCCATTGCTGCCGATTTTGTGGGCGGAGTGACATTGTCATGTAATGGCGACAATTCATTGTCACCTCCTTCATTCATATGAGGAGTACCGAGGTCCTCATGTCCTTCCCCAGCTTCTTTCACCCCACCATCTTGTTTTCGCAGCTGCTCTAGCTCCAGCTTAAAATAATGCTCCATTGATGCCACTGTGTTGCGCAAATCCTCGACACACTTGTTATTTCTTTCAACTTTGGATGACTCCCTCTGTACCATTTCTTCCAACTCATGCACTCTGTTGCGAAGCGCTCGATTTGAACTGGCAACTTTGGCGAATTCATCCTTCATCCTTTCAAAGTCACGCTTCAAAGTGCGTAACTCAGTGGACGCCATTTTACCCTGCATTCAGTTATAATGCAAGTGTTACAATATTTCCAAAATATATCGGAACAAAACAGCAGTTAATTTCCTATTGTATTATGACATATATATTGGAATATTGGAAAATAGGTAATGCTTGCCTTAGAAGACGACGGAAGGCTAGCAGTTTCTTCAATGTCCTCATCTTTTTCTTCTATAGAGGCAGACGGGCTGGTTTTTTGTTCAGCGTCATCGCCAACCAACTCAACAAGTTCTTCAGTGTAGTCAACACTGTCACCCCAAGTCCAATACGGCTGCTGCTTGTCAATTACAGATGGCCAGATAAGTTGCACATCAACCTGCAATTTACGCAGACAATAGACATATCAGTAAACTTATTATATTATATTTTCATATGCCTAAGATTATCATTACAAACTGAACTAACCTGATGGTTCTCGAATACTTGGCTCATTAGCTCATAAAAACGCGGCAAAGTGTTGCTCCTCCAATGTAGTATACGAGGGATGTAGGCATTATGTTCGTGCACCACCAAATGTAGTGCAGCCAACGCTGGAAATACCTCGTAAGCCCAAATCTGGTTTGAGGAAGAAAAGCCTTAGAGATCACATGCTATAACCTTAAATAGGGCATGAAAAGCCAAGAATACAATAAAGATAAATAATTAGCATGTATTAATTGCAGTCTAAACCTTGCCCTATGATTGACAAAAGTTAAAAGAAATACAGCCATCTAGAGATGCA